CTGTACCGAGGGTACGAGGGTGCACAGCCGCGTCATAATCCTCTACGTCTACATTCGGTGGAATACCGTACCTAACCCTAAATCTATTAATTTGTTCACTGTCTTTTACTTTATACTTCCCTGGCCTCGAAGTACTAGCCTGAGGATTCTCGGGGGCAGGACGACGACGAGACATGTTCAAGAAATGATAAAAATAGAGGGGGGTTTTCCACGAAGATCCCTAAGAAGGCTTCCCGGGGGTTGATCGCTGGAAGGCAACCAGAAAACACCTCCGGTAATCAGAAAACCAAAAGAGACAGAAGGGCAAAGAAATGGAGGATACTGGAACTCACCAGAGCGTAAAAAGAGGTATTTTCTGGAAAACTTGAATCGATTCCTTCCAAGAATGTTTAGAAAAAAAGGATGGGTCTACTAGCTTTAAGGCTTCAGTGAAAAGGTTGGGCGGTTAACAAACAGAAGGGAAGAGGTCTCCGGCGAAGATTCAGACAAGGGCTCTCTAGAAGAAAAGTTCAGAATGACGAAATGAGAAAATGAGAGAAGAAGCTCNGCCCGACGTTTACCCCAAGACGCCTATTGAGCTCTAGGACCCCCATAATTATCCTAAAGACATTAAGGCAACACTGCCCGGGAAAGAGGTGAAAATGAGAAAGAAACTGGAGAAGCAGAGGGGGCAAAGGGAACCTAATTCTGCCTTCTATAATGGCTTTAATATAAAAAGGCATTGCATCCTCGGTACCGAGGGTACGAGGGTGCACAGCCGCATCATAATCCTCTACCTCTACATTCGGTGGAACGCTGTACCTAACCCTAAATCTATTAATTTGTTCACTACCTTTTACTTTATACTTCCCTGGCCTCGAAGTACTAGCCTGAGGATTCTCGGGGGCAGAACGACGACGAGGCATGTTCAAGAAGTGATAAAAATAGAGGGGGTTTTTCCACGAAGATCCCCAAGAAGGCTTCCCGGGGGTTGATCGCTGGATGACAACCAGAAAACACCTCCGGTAATCGGAAAACCAAAAGAGACAGAAGGGCAAAGAAATGGAGGATACTGGAACTCACCAGAGCGTAAGAAGAGGTATTTTCTGGAAAACTTGAATCGATTCCTTCCCAGAATGTTCAGAAACAAAGGATGGGTCTGCTAGCTTTAAAGCTTCAGTGAAAAGGTTGGGCAGTTAACAAACAGAAGGGAAGAGGTCTCCGGTGAAGATTCAGGCAAGGGCTATCTGGAAGGAAAGTTCAAAATGACGAAATGAGAAAAAGGGAGAGGAAGCCCATTTATATAGTATCGGTCTCATCATTGGGCACGAAACACGAAAGGACGCATTTAATGCGCACGACGCCCTAAGCAGGGGAAAGCGGCTAGAGGCAATGATGAAGCAGTTGGGGTTGTTGGGAAACCCTTCGTCTCCTTACGACGCGTGTCCTCGGCGTCAGAAGATCGAAGGCTGGGGGGCAATTGATGGGACTTTTCTGAAATACTCAAAGATGAAGACACGTGTCCTCGGCGTCATTAAAATCCTATTACTGAGATCACGTACCATCGGCTTACAACTCCCTCGCCCCGAGGTACTTGACCTGGTCAAGTACGTTTTACGAACCGACACGGATCCCTCGGTCTGATATGGTACCTCGGTGGCCATGTACAACTCCCCTCGACTCGAGATGTACCTCTCCTCGATACCGAGATGTATCCCCCGTACAGGATGCCTTTTCTCTGCTCAAGTATAAGTTATTGATGTACAGGTCATTAGCCTAGGCTAGTCTAGGTTAGCTATCATGGTCTCGTCTTACACAATTGGTGTCAGAAGGCACAGGAAGGTAGGGTCCACAGCCAATGAGGGATGGACGCGTGGCAAATTGTGTCACATCAGAGACAGAAAGACCGCATGCCCTTGCTGACACGCGACTTGGAAAAACAAACATTTAATTACACAATTCCCTTGATGAGACCGCATTCAATGCGATAAGGCTCGAAATTGAAAGACAATAAATGTCTCTAAGGCTGGGCATTTATTGCATCTTCCCCGAGTAGAGCTCATTGGACAGTCGGCAGCCCGATGACACAGCATTGATTGCTCGGGATCTCGAGCAGTTAAAGAAGAGAAGACATTCCTCATCAGAATCAGTGCGCACGCTGCCTGTACCTAATGATCACCTACTGACAACACTGACAACAATCATGAGCTTTTGCAGTATAAATACTCTTCGTAAAAGGCAATACGGTATGCAACAAAAAACCTTTGCTACAATACACACTCAGTGTTTTCTTCTTCCTCTCTCTCTCAAAGACTGACTTGATCGTTGGAGGGGATACGCCGAAAAACACTTTGGCGCCCTTCTAACTTGTTCTTCTTTGTTCTAGGAACCTTTCTCTTGCCTTACTGGATCGTTCCTTCAATCCACGAGGGTCTCCCGTTGTCGTTCCAGGTTACCACCAGACTTCACAGGCTGTCCCAACCAGTGTGGTTGACCACTCAACTGACTCACTCGAGTTCACCAAGGGAGAGAACTGTTCTAGTTTTTTATATTGTGCAAGATCCTGCACGCACACACACACACACATAGATATATGTGTGTGTGTGTGTGTGTGATCAGTTTGTACAAAGTTCATATATACATATATGTGTGTGCACAGTTTATATATGTGTATGTGTGTGTGTGATCAGTGAAACACAGTTTATATATATATATGTGTGTGTGTGTGTGAACAGTTTGTTTCATTTTATATATATGTATATATATATTTTTATTTTCTCAAATAACTATCAATGATGACTGCATAAATTAAGGAAGGGTGTTTAGAAAAAAAAGATCTTAATTTATTTTGAAATTTGTATTTAAACACAAAAAATTTGATAAAAATTATACTTAAAAGAATAAACAATTTATTTATATATTTTTACCTAAATAAGTTTAAAAAATTATATTCATACCTAAAAAAACTCAAAATAAATTAAGTGTCGGTGGTTGATTGACTGACTTCTACAATTATTGTTATTTTCCAAGGAGAAGTAGAACAAGTTTGTTGACTGACCGACTATCAATCATATGCCCTGATGTAAGTCCCAAACTATAGATTGATGCATTCAAGCCACAGGTATTTTGTGTAACATCTCATTTATTCCGGTGCATCAGAATAAAAAATTTATTTAATATACGAAATTTTTGTCACTATAAAACTAAAAAAAATTAGATGTATATAGTCTTTTTCTTAGAAACACATCATTGTGGGGTTAAAAAAAAATAAAATATACATGGTCTTTTTCTTGTAAAAAGAGAAGCTAAAAAATAAATTAAGCAAAATATTATTTATTGATTGACTGACGTTGATTGACTGACTTCTACAATTATTGTTATTTTCCAAGGAGACATAGAACAAGTTTGTTGACTATCTATAATTTGCCGTGTTGTAAGTCCCAAATTATAGATTGATGTATTCAAATTTGGGTATTTTGTGCAAAATCTCATTTATTCTAGTGCACTAGAATAAAAAGTGTAATTAATATATGAGATTTTTGTTATTGTGAAATTAAAAAAAATTAGATGCATGCAATCTCTCATTTATCAAAAAATTAGATGTAAACAATCTTTTTCTTGCTAAAAAATAAATTAAGTAAAATATTGTTTGTTGATTGACTGACTGCTATAATTATTGTTATTTTCGAAGGAGCGTAGAACAAGTTTGTTGACTGACTGACTGACTGACTTCTATGATTGTTATTATTTTTTAAGGAAATTTACACTTTATATGTTATATTTTCAAAAATTAAACTTTTTTATATTAGACTTTTAATATATTAAAAATATGGCAATGCATATATGGGATCTTTCTTTTTAACTTTCATTACTCATTTTCTGTAAATGTTAATGGGTGGTATTTAATGGAATGAACAACAAAAACTAAATCAGATGAAAAAACAACAACAAAATCTAACGAAAGAGTTATATTGTAATATTAGTAATTGTTTATGCCTGAAGGCATGGAATAAGAAAAAAAAAAAAATATTATATCTCATTATCTTTGTATCAAAAAAAAAAATTATATAACTCATGCAATAAAATTGAATTTGGACCCTCTAATTTATATAATAAAGTAGTTTACAATTCAAATTTCAAAAGATAAACAAAATGACTTTTGTTTTTCGCGGTTGAATTCGTTTTAAATTTTATTTTAAAGTTTATCTAACTGCTAATATTAACACCCTAAATTTAATAGGAAAAATAGGACCCTAAGAGTGTGTTTGAAGTGACTTTTTAAAAGTACTTTTAAAAATTATTTCTCATAAATACTTAAAAAAAAAAATTGTGTTTGAAATCGTCCTACCACTACCTTTACCCCCCACTGCCACCACCGTCACCCCACCCCCACGGCCGCCACCACTACCACCACCACCAATGCCATTGTCAGTGCGCCGCTACCACTGTCGACGTCGCCCACCACCGCCACCTCGATCATTGCCACCCACCAAAACTATTACCGTTTTCTATAATTATCACTGTTGCCCATCATCTATCACTCCTACTATAAATCGATATTTAAATTTTTTTATTTATTTCTTATGTTTGTGATTTGATTTTATATGTAAATTATAAATATATTTACTGTTTATTATTTTTTATTATTTTGTACGTGCAATAACCAGTAATTAAATTTCAACATATTACTGCTCAAATTCGGTATTGCCAGCAATCAGTGTTGTTGGCGAGAGAGATAGAGTTAAGGGTGCGATTGATTGAATAGACTTGTTTGGGCGGGAAAAAAAAATTTGGAAGTTAATCTCAACCATTGTATTAAATTTTGAGAAATTTGGATAAATTTAAACCGCGAAAAACAAAGAGTTATTTTTATATTTTTTGGATTTAAAATATTTTTTAAAGATACAAAAATTTAATATTTGAAGTTGAAAAATAAGAATTTTTTTATTTTTAAGATACAAAATGTGATTCCCTATTTGTTAACTTTTGTGTAGCATGTAATCTTCTATAAAGGCAGTGTCTTCGCCGGGGAAGACACGGTCCGTCTAATCCGGTTCCGCGAAGACGCCGGAGCGACGAACCAGAGCACTCGAAATGACAAGCATACCCTCGTCATTTTCTGTAATGCCTCTCAGTTGCCTTTTGTTTTTCCTAATCCTCCTACCCTTTAAAGTAAATTCACAAATTCCAGAAAGCGAGCGGCTTGTCCTACTGAAAATGAAAGAACAATGGGGCAATCCACTCTCACTCCAAGCATGGAACTCCACATCCCAGCCGTGCGATTGGTGGGGGATTTGGTGCGAAAGAGGGAGGGTCGTCGGAATAGACCTCCGACAGAACAACATCCCCGGAACAATTCCGATGATGATGTGTGAGCTCGAAAACCTCCGCTACATCACGCTCTCTGACAATAAAATAGCAGGAAGAATTCCTGAAAGTCTAAGTAATTGTTCAGAGCTCGAAGAATTGGACCTGACCAAGAATTTCTTGACGGGTCCAATCCCCAGCGGGTTGTTTCGTTTGAAGAGGTTACGTAGTTTGATCCTTAAAGACAACAAGCTATCTGGTGAGTTACCGATACCCATTGAACTTTTTAATTTGGCTTCATTGGATCTTTCTCGTAACAATTTGAGTGGATTCATTCCAAAAGATTTTGGGAAATTACACAGTCTTTCACTATTGGATTTGTCCAATAATTCTTTGAGCGGTTCAATCCCAAATGGGTTGTTTCTTTTGAAGAATTTAATTTCTGTATCACTTGCTCATAACAGTTTGTCAGGTGGCATACCTACATCCATCGATTCATTAATTTTAGAAGAAATGAATCTTTCACATAATCATTTGAAAGGATCTATTCCGGAAGGTGTTGGAGAATTACCCTCTTTGAGTAGTTTGGATCTATCTCATAATCAATTATCTGGAGATATAATTTCAACTGTTACCCATTTCAGGCCTAATTTTAATTCCATAAATTTAAGGCTTTGCTCTAACAAACTATCCGGGAGAATTCCATATGTGTTTGTGAGGCGGGCATACATAAGTAGTTGCTTTGATTATTCAAACCTGTGTTCTGCCAACAAAACTAGGGGTCTTCGAAGCTGCCCTTCCAAGCTGTGCTCTGATAAAAAATTTGAGGAATTTCTAAGATGCCCTATCAAGAAACCCAAGTCCAAAAAGGACATCATAATTCCTGCAACAATTGGTGCCCTTCTTGGTGTTGGGTTTATAGTTATAATCTATCTCTGCTTGGCCAGAAAATCCTGGAGCAAGAAGCATGTGAGCCATATCGCAGAGTGGGAGATGATTTGTTTTAAGAAATTGGATTTCACAGAATGGAGCATTTTGTCGAGTTTGAGTGACAATAATTTAATAGGAACTGGAGGGTCGGGGAAGGTCTACAGAATTCCCCTTAATCAAACTGGCAAATATGTTGCCGTCAAATGGATATGGAATGACAGAAAACCAGGCCACAGGCTCGAAAAGGAGTTTTTAGCGGAAATTCAAACACTGGGAAGTATATGCCACGCCAATATAGTAAAGCTTTTGTGCTACATTTCAAGCAAGAATACGAAGCTTCTTGTGTATGAGTACATGGAGAATCAAAGCCTTGATAGATGGCTGCATGGGAGGAAGCTAGGTGGTGTATCATCAGATGACAATTCAGCTCAACGTGTTGTCTTAGATTGGCCAACTAGGTTGCAGATTGCCATTAGAGTTGCACAAGGGCTCAGCTATATGCACCATGACTGCTCTCCACCGATCATCCATCGAGACATAAAGTCCAGCAATATCCTTTTAGACTCTGAACTTTGTGCAAAAATATCAGACTTTGGACTGGCTAAGTTGTTGGCTAAGAAGGGAGATCCTGAGACAGCATCTGCAGTTGCTGGGACTTTTGGTTACATTGCCCCAGGTATATGTTTCATTTCTTCCTGTTATATCACTATTGGGAAAATCTTATGGTGATTTTCAAACTTGGTTTACAGAGTATGCTCACACAGCTAAGGTGAATGTGAAGAGTGACGTCTATAGCTTTGGGGTGGTACTGCTGGAATTGGCAACTGGAAGAGAAGCTGTCACCCAAGACGATCATATAAACCTTGCAGAATGGGCATGGCGGCACTACACAGAAGAAAATTCAATTATTGATGCTCTTGATGAGGAGATCAAGGAAGCATGTTTCTTGGAAGAAATGAGTGCTGTGTTCAATCTTGGGTTGTTATGTACTGCAACATCGCCTTCCATCAGGCCTTCAATGAGAGAAGTTTCACAAATTCTTCACAACTGTGCCCTTAATCGTTCTTGCTAAGGACTTAGAAAAATTTTGCTCCTCTCTTTGAGAGTGATGTTTTTTTTTTTTTTTCAGTTGGGAAGCAAGGCGTTGACTCCCTACTCAGTAGGGTAATAATATAGCTCCTCATGGTTCTGGTTTGTGATGTTTCAAATTAAATGTGAAGGAGATCCATGGATAGACATAGTGCAGGTGCTTAAATTGTCAAAATACTTGATGCCAGTTTCAAGTAATTGAGCAGATCAAGCTAAGTTTTTCATGTTCAATATACCGTACAGTTCGCAGCTTTGCCATTGCTTTTACTTGTTTCCATACATCCGAGGATTTCCCTTCATCATAGACCGTAATGAGTATCTTGAAGAAAACGTGAGCAGTAGGGATTCGGATTTTATCATAGCAAGGATTACCTGCAGTTGTGAAGCCAATTGAAATCCTTTTCCAATTACCTGGAGATCATCTCGAACATTAGGTAAGATAATTCTACATTGATGGAGAAATATTCAATAAAACCACTATGCTTACTCCAAATCATAGCCTCACTGTGCATCCACCATTCCTAGGTTGCTACAAAAGATTTCCGCATGAACTTTGCCTATATGAGGGGATGAGGTTTAGTTTCTCATGAATTTTTGGTTATGCACCTAATTATTCTGTAGGCTCTGTTCTTTTTATATTACTAGATCATGCACACGTGTTTTGCACGTGAATCGTTTTAAATTATAGTTTTGTTTTAAATTTATTTTTATAATTGTTTGAAATAATCATGTAATTATAGTAGTCTACAAATACTTATGCATCAAACAAATAAACTTTCTACAATTCATACGATTTATATTGAAATATTTTCACGAAGAATATTAGTTTTTATTTGTTTTTATATTAACTCCTACAGTTTTGAGTAATTATTTCTCTTATAAAGTTATTAGTCATAACCCGTGCCTGAAGGCACGATAAAATATCTAAAAATTTAAATAAATTATATTTACAATATCATTGCAATATCTGTTTATTGCGAAATGTAGATATATATAACAACTAAACAAGAATACGAATACTTATTGAATTGTAAAAAAACACATAATGAAAAAGGCTTTACGTTATGGTGGTCATACAATCATTCACAATTAAAAGAAAGTTAGGTTGTAGAAATGAAATAAGTAATTAAGTTACTTGGGGTAAACACATTAATTTAATCATTAACATTCATAGTACTAGTCATCGCCCAACAAAAATAAAAAAGCAAAAACAACTCTACTCTAGTGTTACTAATAAGGGGATGCATTGATACTAAAATTGAAAAATTGAAGAAGATGAAAAGTTGGCATTTGACATTATTATTGAGGATACATCAAAATAAATTCTATAATAAAAAATGCCCAACTTGTCTTTATTCATATATTGATTATCAACTAATAAAAATAAGTTTAACTCCTTTTACCGGTTAAAGTTGTCTTTTAAAATGAAGATGAAAAGCTTGATTAGTATTAATATGAATTTCTTATTAATAAGGTTAGTATTGAATTTATACTTTATTTTAAGAGTAAAGTAGTCCAACAAAATTTAATGTTAATAAAGTTTTATTAAAATGATTTTTACATTAAATATGGTTAATATTGTCATTATATTTTCTTGTATAGATTAGTAGTATAGATGTGTAATGGAAATACATCATAAAGATTTTGGTTCAATGCTAAGACACAAGGGTTCACTGACTTTACTAATTGTTTATGAAGAAAATTGAGCAGTTTGGCAATTAATGTGTTAAATGTACACTTTGGTTATGCATTATTTTTGCTATTTGTTCAACAAGTTGCATTGACGTAACTATTTCTCTTGTATTGATCTGATTCCCTAATTAGGCCCAGGCTTGTGGACTTGAGCTGACTCGGCATGCTTGGTCAGGGGCGGCCTTAGACATTTTAGGGACTAAAGTGGAAAGGATAAATGAGGTCTTTTATATTTTTAATATTAATAATAAATTTAATTTTAATTTTTTTAAATATAAAAATATTAATTAAAATTTTATATTCAAGTTTTTATTAGCATATTTGAACTTGATGGTAAGAGAGATAAAATGATTGAAAATTTATGATGGTAAATTTAAACTTTACTATTTTGTTAGTTAAGAATAGATTTTTGAGTAACTTTAGTTTTACTGATACTTTTTTCCTTATTTTAAAAAAAATAATAAATTTTAGGATTTTTTAATTTCACGGTTGAATTAATAAGTTCAATCTACTTAAATTGACATCTTTTGTTTGGACATGGATTTAAATCTTTTGTTTAAACTATTATTGCACACCTATAAATTATGGGGCCTTTTTTAAAGTGAGGCCTTAAATTTTTTTTTCTTGATTGTTCTTATGTTTTTATAGGGCTTAAAATATTTATGGATTTAATTTTTTTATATGAATTATTTATGATATCTAATAATTTTGGGCCTTCTTTAAAAATGGGGTCTAAAGTCTAAGTTTTTTCAACAATATTGTTGAGCCGCCCCACTGCTTGGTTTGATTTAAGCTAGGTCTTGGCTATTTTTTTTTGTGGTTGTACATGACAATATGAAAAAATTCAAATAATTGATGCCTTGACCTTGGGTAGCTTGGGATTACTTTGGATATAGCAAAATAAATGGAAATATGATAAATATAAGTATTTTTAACATGACCAATTGTATTTATATGAAGTATTTTACATATTTTCTGGCAGATTTTGGAGATTGAATGGTATACTTTAGTTGCTTCATCTCTAGTCTCTTAGTGGTGGATTCAGTTGTTTATGGACTTTGTGTTCTGTTGTTTTTGTTGGTTTTGAGTGTCAAAAAATTGTAGATAGCATGTATAATTGCTTTCACTGATGTGAATAGTTAAATATTATCCCAGAGTTCCAATAATTTTGTCCCACCTTTTATGGTGTGATTGTGCTTCATCACTATAAAAATTGATTGGACTAATGAATTTGAAAAATGCTCTTCCATAGGTTGGTTCAATGATCATACAAGAGATGTGTATATATGCATATTCTAAGCTTGAGTTTTTCTGACAATATTCAAAATTCAGATTTAATTAATCTACATGATTTGTGAGTTTGTATGTGTATTCAATATTTGTTTTGTCGTTATAACATTACTGATGAGACATTTTTAAATACTCTAAGATGAAGACACGTGTCCTCGGCATCAGTAAATTCTTGTTACTATAATCACGACACGTACCCGTCGGATCACAAGTCCCTGTTCCCTCGAGGTATTGTTCATAGAGATCAATGACACCTAGTACGTTACGTATTGACACGTATCCCTCGGTCGGATATAGGCACATCGGTCCCTACATGTACCACTCACCTCGGTACCAAGATGTACCCGTTCAGGATGACGTTCTGTGCTCCTGCAGAGGCTATTGATGTACAAGTTACTAGCCTAGTGTAGGCTAGGTTAGCCATTATGACCTCGTCTTACACAATTGGTGTCAAAAGGCACAATAAAGCAAAAGACACAGCCATTGAGGAATGAGCGCGTGACATATTGTGTCACATCAGAGACAAAAAAGACCGGATACCCTTGCTGACACACGACTTAGGAAAACAAACATTTAATTACATCATTCCCTTGATAAGACAACATTTAATGCGGTAAAGCTCGGAAGTGAAAGGTAATAAATGTCCCTAAGACTGGGCATTTATTACATCCTTGCCGAGAGGAGCTCATTAAACAGTCGCCAGGCCGATGATGCAGCCTTGGTTGCTCGGGATCTCGAGCAGTTAAAAGAGAAGACATTCCTCATAGGAATCAGTGCGTATGTTGCCCGTATCTAATGATTACCTACTGACCACACTAACAACAATAATGAGTTTTTGAGGTATAAATACTCCTCACAAAAGGCAAGACGGTTTGCAACGAAAAACTTTTTCTCAAACCTATACTCAGTGTTTTCTTCTTCCCCTCTCTCAAAAACTGACTTGATCGTCAGAGGGGATATGCCGAAAAACATTCTGGCGCCCTTCTAATTTGTCTTTCTCTGTTCCAGGAACCTCCTTCAGCCTTACTGGACCGCTCCGTTGATCCACGAGAGTCTCCTATTACCGTTCCAGGCTACCACCGGACCTCACAGTTTGTTCCAAGCAGTAGAGTTGACCATTCGACTGACTCACTCAAGTTCACCAAAGAAAAGATCTGTTCTCGTGTTTATATTGTGCAATATCCTGCACACACAATTACTTATTACAAAGTTGTTCTCTAATACAAATAATTTGTTAAACATAACCGAGTTTGATTAAGTTTAGGCTACGAAGAAATTATTGGGAGTTAAAAACCACTAAGATACCCTTCTTGAGTATAAATATTCGCTTTGGACTTGGGAAAAAAATGATAAAACGTGTACATTTTGGTTCCACTGCTGTTGAGGACTCGTAAATTTAATTGATACAAGTGGATCCCCACCGTTAAACCAAGGCTGCAAATTTAAAACTCGTTTCTTTTCTTATCATAAAAGTATGTAAACCCAAAAAAAAACTAAGTCTTGGCTTGGCATTCCAGCGGACCCAAGATTCTGACTTTTTTTTATTAACATTTTTTTGGGTCAACAATTGACAGACTTTTTTTGTTTTTTGGTCTTATCAGTTGACTGACGTACACTACAAGTTTCAAGTATTTTTTATTGCTCGTACATATTTGCTTGAACGTCCTGTTATTACGCCGGAGCACCGGACCCAAAAAACCCGAAATGGCAAAAAGACCCTCACAATTTTGGATTTTGCCTCTCAATTTCCTTTATTTTGTTCTCACCCTCCTACCCTTTAAAGTAAATTCACAAATTTCAGACACCGAGCGGACTATCCTACTGAACATGAAAAAACATTGGGGCAATCCACCCTCACTCCAAGCATGGAACTCTACATCCCAGCCGTGCGATTGGCCGGAGATCTGGTGCGAAAGTGGCAGAGTCGTCGTAGTACGCCTGGCACAAATGAACATCACCGGAACACTTCCGACGACGATCTGCGAGCTCGAAAACATACTTGAGATTATGATCCTCAACAATGATATCTCAGGAACAATTCCTCAAAGTATAAGGAATTGCTCGAAGCTGGAAACCTTGGACCTGACCGGTAATTTCTTGACCGGTCCTATCCCCGGCGAGTTGTTTCTTTTGCAGAATTTAAATTACTTGACCCTCAAAGATAACATGCTATCTGGTGAGTTACCAAACCCAATTGAACTTGTTAGTTTGTCGTTTTTGGATCTTTCTTATAACCACTTGAATGGATCCATACCAGCAGATATTGGAAAGTTGTATAATCTGTCTACATTGATCTTGTCAAACAATTCTCTTAGTGGTTCAATTCCCAATGGCTTGTTTCGGTTGCCTCAGTTAAGCTCTCTCACACTTGGTCATAACATGTTGTCTGGTGAAATTCCAAGACACATTGAAGGTTCTATTTTGCGTTCTGTTGTTTTTTCTCATAATTACTTGAATGGATCCATCCCGGAAGAGCTTGGGAAATTATGCAGTCTTTCTCTATTGGATTTGTCCAATAATTCTCTGAGCGGTTCAATTCCAAATGGATTGTTTAGTTTGAAGGGTTTAAGCTACCTGTTCCTTGGTCATAACAGCTTGTCAGGTGGCATACCTGCTTCCATGGATTTTGAGTCTTTGCAAGAAATTGATCTTTCGCATAATTATCTGAATGGATCTATTCCGAAAGGTTTTGGAGAATTAAGTGAGTTTCGGAGTTTGGATCTCTCTGATAATCAATTTTCTGGTGATATATTGGCAATTGTAAGCCATTTCAGCTCTAAGCATATTTACCAAGCAACTATAAGGCTTTGCTCTAACATACTCTCTGGGAGAATTCCATATGAGTTCACGATACAGGCATCCATTAATAATTGCTTTGATGTTTTAAACATGTGTTCCAACAACGAAGTCATGGGTCTCCCAAGCTGCCCTCCTTCCAAGCTGTGCTCTGATGAAAAATTTCAGGGATTTCTAAGCTGTCCTCCTAAGAAACCTAAACACGTCATCATTAGAGTTCTAGCAGCATTCGGTGGCCTTGTTGTAGGGCTAGTTGGGCTAATTGTCATTTTATTCGTGACCGGAAAATCCCGGAGCAAGAAGCGCGTGTGTGACGCTACAGAGTGGGACATGATTTGCTTTCAGAAATTGGATTTCACAAAATGGGACATTTTGTCGAGTTTGAGTGACAATAATTTAATTGGAACTGGAGGGTCAGGGATGGTCTACAGAATTCCCCTTAATCAAACTGGCAAATATGTTGCTGTCAAATGGATATGGAATANGGGACATTTTGTCGAGTTTGAGTGACAATAATTTAATTGGAACTGGAGGGTCAGGGAAGGTCTACAGAATTCCCCTTAATCAAACTGGCAAATATGTTGCTGTCAAATGGATATGGAATAAGAGAAAACCAGGCCACAGGCTCGAAAAGGAGTTTTTAGCAGAGGTTCAAACACTGGGGAGTATATGCCACACCAGCATAGTAAAGCTTTTGTGCTGCATTTCAAGCAAGAACACTAAGCTTCTCGTGTACGAGTACATGAAGAATCAGAGCCTTCATAGATGGTTGCATGGAAGGAAGAAAGGTGCATCATCAGATGGCAATTTGGTTCTACGTGTTGTATTGGATTGGCCAACTAGGTTGCAGATTGCCATTAGAGTTGCACAAGGGCTCAGCTATATGCACCATGACTGCTCTCCACCAATCATCCATCGCGACATAAAGTCCAGCAATATCCTTTTGGACTCTGAATTTTGTGCAAAAATAGCAGATTTTGGACTGGCCAAGTTTTTGACTAGGAACAGAGATCCTGAGACAGCATCTGCTATTGCTGGCACTTTCGGTTACATTGCCCCAGGTATTTGTTTCATTTCTTTCCTCTTATTTCACTACTGAAAAAATCTTAAGGCAATTTTCGAACTTGGATTACAGAGTATGCCCGCACAGCAAAGGTGAATGTGAAGATTGACATATATAGCTTTGGGGTGGTACTACTGGAATTGGCAACTGGACGAGGAGCTGTCATTCAAGACGAGCACATAAACCTTGCAGAATGGGCATGGCGGCACTGCAAAGAGGAAAAATCCATTATCGATGCCCTTGATGAGGATATCAAGGAAGCATGTTTTCTTGAAGAAATGAGTGCTATGTTCAAACTTGGGTTGTCATGTACTGCAACTGCGCCTTCCACCAGGCCGTCAATGAGAGAAGTTTTACAAATTCTTCACAGTCGTAGTTTTAATCGTTCCTGGGAAGAAGTTAGAAAAATGTTGCTTGCTCCTCCTTTCAAATACTAAAATGAAGAAGATCCATGGATAGACATGGTGCAGGTGCATAAGTTGTTACAATACTTAATTCCAGTTTCTAGTTACTGAACTGGCCAAGCTAGGTTTTTCTTGTTCAATATACTGTATAGAGCTTTGCTATTGCGCTAGTTTGAGAGACCGTACTTCTGTTTTTTGTTTTACACTAAGTTTGAAACCTAACACCATATCTCAATGTGTGACACAGCTTCGTCAACTTGCAGTTTGTTTTTTGCTAAATTGGTTTTTTATGAAAAAACAAAAATTTCAGTTACACCATTTTTAATTTATCATATTTTTAAAGACAGCTTTTTTATTTTCTAAATCTTCACTAACACGCCTTATCAGATTAAAGGTCTTATCTAAAATACAATTTTACTAAATTATCCGTGATAAATTTTAGAAAAAAATTATTCACACCCTTTCTAAATGAGCATATTTTTAATGAAATCCCTTCTATTTTATAAATTTTTTTACGTATTAAAATTCGGGTCAATTAAAATTTAATCAATTCGCATTAAATTTTAATCAACCTAAATTTTGATACATAAAAAAATATAAATTTTAATCAACTCAAATTTTGATATGTAAAAAATGAATTTTACTTAACTTGAATCACATTTTAATTGACACAAATTTTATTCAGTAAAAAAATATAAATTTTAATTAACTCGAATTGAAATTTAATCACACTCACAGCTCAAGTTGAGCTCAAATTGGATTGAATTATAATACCAAAAAAAATAAAATTTAATCAGCTCAAATTGATTTTTAATCGATTCAAATTTTAATATGTAAAAAAATAAATTTTAATATGTTAAAAAAAAATTGATCGGCTTGAATTTTAATCGAATTTTATGTAGACAGATTGTTTGAGGTTTATGTAGGGGTAAATTTGATATTTTAGATAAAAAAAAAATTGTTAAGAATGGTAGTTTAAAAGTAAAGGGTGTCAATGATGTTTAAATATAGGAAAAATTTTAGCCACACCCTTTCTATTATCATAAACATCACTACACCCTGTCTACTTTATATTTGAACATCATTGACATCTCTTGTCATTAAAACACAATTTATAACAGAAATAAATCATCTAAAATACCAAAATTTTCCCTATATAAACTCTAAACAATCTTTCTACATAAATTTTGATTAAAATTCATTTTTTGCATATTAAAATTCAAGTTAATTAAAATCCTTTTTTTCACATATTAAAATTTGAGTCGATTAAAATTTGATTCGAATTGGTTAAATTTTATTTTTTTATTTATCAAATTCAAGCTTATTAATTTTTTTTTACGTTTTAAATTCGAACTGATTTGAGCTCTACTTAAACTGTTAAGTTCGATTAAAATTCACTTCGAATCAAGGGTGGTTTGGGATAAAGATGACAAAGAAGATTAGGGTTAGAGTTAGAGATAGAGCTTAAGAATAGTGAAGGTTGTGATGTTGGCAGTGGGATTTAGATAATGGAGGTTGTGGTGTTGATGGTTGGTTTTTGTATGGTGGAGCTGGTGGATTTTGGATGGTAGAACTGATGGTGTTGAGGATGGCTTTTCGATGGCGGAGGCGGTGGTGTCATCCATAGTCACCATATCTCCCTCTTTCTCTGTAGAAGGCGGTGGTTAAGGAGGTTGGTAGGTGGTAGCGATTCTAGAAGCCCATGGTGGGTGGGTAATACTACCAGATGATTGCCTTAATTTATGGTGTCTTAATCTGCCTCAATTGGGGGAAAAATTAGCTAATTAATTGCTTAATTAGTGGTGTCATAATTTGGAAATAATAGATTATATTTGATTTCAATACATGTTAAGGTAAGCTTAGTTGATACAAAATCTATTATATTGAGTAACTTAATTATTTTTTAAATCATAATTATTATGAGAATTGGTGGGTTTATGAGTTTAATTTTTTTTTTTGGATAGATAGTTATTAGTACAATTAGGAAATTAAAATTTAAGTGTTGAAATAAATGAAGGATAAATTTCTAGTGTAAGAAAAATATATATTTAAATTCTCAAACTTAATTTTAGAGGGTAATTTTCGTATTTTAACAATTATTTTGATGACATCAGTTTTGACTGTTAATAATTCTAACGTTTATTAGTTGGAGGGGACGTGGTTGTTACAAATTATTAATGTCAAGGAAAGTTGGCGTTGTTTTACCGTGTGAGAGAATGTCCGTATAATAAAATTAAATATTAGGGGGTGTGAATGATATTTATCCTAAATCAATTAATTTGTTATGGTAAAGAAGAATAACGGTGCACGGACTGTACTCAAACTTCAAATCAATGACCCCAAAAGTAAGGAATATGTCAGTGTGTTCCAATGAGAACACCGAAAAAACCTAATTAGTAGTTGTGAAGCCAATTGAAACCCTTTTCAAATTGCCTGGAGAAACATGCAAAATATAATCAATGTTCTTACTTGAAACCATAACTCCACGTTGTATAAAACCATGCCCAGGTCTCTATAAAAGGATTTTATTGTGATCTTTGCCTATACGAGAGGATGAAATTAAGCAGTCACTCTAGTCAAGAGAGCCAAATTATTGAAGAAAATTCTTAACAATATTAGGGTTTGACCATTTACTTATCACAAATTTGGAAATTTTGTACGCTCGGTACAATTATTTAGACCTAAAAATCCTTTAGCCATTGACTAAGCTCAACTTAATCTAACAATAAAATCAAGAGGTTTGTCGCTAGATTTTATGTCATTTATGCAAAAAAAAGAAACCCCAAGTAAATTCACAAATAAACAAATTGATAGATCTAATTAAGTTTGTCAATCGTGTCAGGTGAAACAGATTTGTGTTAAAAAACACTTCACTCATACCCGATTCATTTATTAATCTGTGTTTAACGAGTCGTGTCATATCGAGTTGTGTCATGTATCAATCGTGTGTAATTGATATATAAACGAGTCGTGTCGTGTTTTTTTAATTGACTTTACTTATAATCGATTCGTTTATTAATAGTGTCGTATCATATTAGGTGGACTTGTTTACAAAACAAGTGATATAAAGAAGACCAAAATTCTCTAATTTCGTATCAAGTTAACGAGTCGTGTCAAATTTTAACATCCCTAAATCTGATTCATCACTATTTTCTCATTTCTTTTTTTTTTTTTTGGAGGGGGGGGGTTGAGGGGGGTTAAATCTCATGATATTTACAAAATAGGTAATTAGCTTTCATTACTGTACCTGTTTTTGTTAGTTGATAACAACATGACATGTGTGTAATATTTTGATCTATTTTAATTTTTCATCTTATTTTATTTTTCCAGGAATGATGATTATTAATAGTTCAATCCCACATTTACTATTGCAAATAATTTTTTATAAATAAAATATTTCTACAGTGTTGCAATACTACTCTTGCAACAAATAATAACAATTATTTTAAATGTAATTTGTTGGCTAGAACTAAAAAGGTTTCAAAAATATTTTAAAAACAAAAAGAAAAGGAGAAAATAATTATGAATTTACTTCAAAAATAATTCAAAATATTAGTTAAAAATATAAATGTTTTAGTGGTTCAGACTGTTTTAAAAGGAAATTTTAATTTAAAAACTTGATTGGTTTGTGATGCAGAGAAGCAGATAGAATAAGAGTGTATAATGAAAGAAAATAGATAAAAAGACAAAATCGTTGATTTGCTCATAAATACTGGTTTAAAATCATACTCTACAACTATTGATTTACAAAAATACTAATTCTAAAGACTTGAATTGATAAGTTAATTCACAAATAATATCAGAATAATTGAGAATTAAAGAGAAGCTCTCTCAATTGTATTACTCAAAAATTGTTTAGTCCTACGATTTATAAGGGTATAAGGGTATAAATAATACTAAAATCCTAAAATTAATTAGGATATAACTGAACGTGACCTAATTATCGTTAATTACGTAATTAGGCTATTATACAGATTTTGCCAAAAAATAAAAATTTTAAACTAATTATGTTGTTAAAAATTACTTATCATCTGAATTAAAGGCAGAACTGATGGTGGTTAAATTCGACGATAAATTTATTCAATTATAAAATATTATCAAAAACAACAAAAAAGCCATTTTTAGGCCCTAAAAGAAAGGAATTTGCCACCATGGGTCATTCCCAGTTAAGAGTGTGATGAGTTTATTTTGCCCACCATTATTGGCTAGACATAGGAGTTTAGAGACTCATGTATATAAGAGTGCAACCGAAAAGGTCAGACACATTTGACTAGCCCAAACCACCCTCAACATCGATTTCATCGATTCAAGTACTGTGTTGTTATAAGATTTACATTAATTTTGTCAAATTAATAATAAGATTTTTGTTTCTTTTTTGTCAAATTTATTACAACGTTTAAATACACAACTAAAAAACAAAGTCATAATCATTAACAAACTGTTACCGTCCTCAAAAACATTTTGTTTTTGGAAACATTTTTGGTTAGAAACATTGCCATTGGACTAAAAAAAGTGTGGAAAAATTATATTCAAATTATATACAGACGTATGAAGGTATAATAAATTATATCCAAATCCTTTAAAGTTTGTAGATATATAATATTTAAATTCCTTAAGTTTAAAATATCACACTTAGACCACTTATTAGTTACAAAACTAGCAAAATTTATCGAACTACCAAATTATTTCAATTAAAAGTAAAAGATATTGTATCGATTACGGTTTAACCACTTATTTGGTTTTGTAGTTTTATTTAATTGTATATTAATTATAATTTTTTTAAGAAAAAATTAATTTTTTATTTTATTTCAATAATTGTAAAACTTAAAATATTTGATATTTTATCTTTCATTGAAGTATTTTTAGTTTAAGTATAATATTTTAAACTTGAGAAGTCTAAATATTATATCTCTAAAAATTTTAGATGTCTAAGTGTAATTTAGTAACATATAGATCGGTGAATATTGACGACAGGTAGGGGTGTTCACCCTATTCTACGGGTAGGAAATGTACTCTTTCATCTTCCTACCCGATACTTTGCGGAAGAGTTTTTTCTTGGCCTACCCTACCCGATAGTTGTGGTATTCTTACCCGACTTCCTACCCGATTAATCGAGTAAAAAATCGGGTAAATATTTTTGTAACAATTAATTTTTGGATCATTTTAACAATTTAATTAAATAACATGCATCAATTTAACAACATAATAAATCAATTAACACTAAAATCTAAAACAACTACAACAAGAATTATAATAAAACACAAGAAAGTATGAACACCAATCCACCATAATTGTTACACAACTACAATAACAATTAATTTAAGTTTAAACTTTAAACCATATGAAATACATTAAAATCATAATTGATCCATTGTGGTAGTTCACCACAAATCATGTAACCGATCTGTTACTGTAGATGAAGGTCTGCGATCAGACCTTCCAAGCCAGACCACACCACAGAGAGAGAGAGAGAGAGAGAGAAAAGAGAGAAAGACAACCTAGGTGGGAAGTCTGGAACGATGAAGGAGGAGCAGTGGAGTGACCGAGTGAGGTGTGAGGCGCAGGCGCTCTTGGGACTCAATAGATTAGGGTTTTTTTACTATATATATATATATATATTTTTTTAAAAATTATTGCGGGTAGGATAGGGTATGAATGCGGAAATGGATGTTTATTCCGCATTTCTACCCGAAATTTGTCGGAAGACAAAAAATTCTTCTACATTCCTATTCGATTTTTGCGGCTAACCGTTCAATAGGGTAGGGTAGGAACTTGCGGCCGATCGAAAATTTGAACACCCCTAACGTCAGGAGTCTAAGTTTTACAAGTGTACAAAATCTCAGAGGATTTGTACGTAATATTTCAAATATAAGGGAATTTAAATGATTAAATGGTAAAAAGAGGGAACCTCGACGTAATTCTCCTAAAAAAATTAGAAGGAACCGTAGAGGAGCCATCAGCCATCAGCCTCAGCCAACCTCAACACGCGCCACCACTGGCACTGACCGATGCCTCAAAATCAACGTAAACATCACTCTCAGTCTACAGTGAAACTCATAGCATTTTCTAAAAAAAAAAGTCTACGGTAAAACCGCCCAACCCCACAAAGTAGATAACAAAACCAGGCCTCACTCATTTCTGTCTCTTTCTCCGTCTCCACCTGAATGCTCTCTCGTTTTCCCACTTTTCTCCGCACTCTCCACCCACCCTTCTCCGGCGATGCCATGGCGGCGCGTGTTTTTTCACGCGCTCTGCCCACCACCGATGTTCTATGCTCTCACAATTCGTCGTCGCATTCGAGTCGACTTCCTAACTCGGTTCGTTTCTACCTGTCGAATTCGTACGAGGATTCCTATTCATTTTTTGGTAGGAGGCTCAGTTTCTTGAGTTGTGAGCATCGAAATCGGAGCATTTCGAGAGGGTTTGGAAATGTGTTTGCATCGCAGAGAGCGTACCGGAAGCTTCGCNGTCGAATTCGTACGAGGATTCCTATTCATTTTTTGGTAGGAGGCTCAGTTTCTTGAGCTGTGAGCATCGAAATCGGAGCATTTCGAGAGGGTTTGGAAATGTGTTTGCATCGCAGAGAGCGTACCGGAAGCTTCGCAGGCGTCCGGCGAAGAATAAAGAGAAAGAGTTGGAGCTCGGTGTAAAGATTTGTATCGAAGAACAATTGCCCGACGATCCTGAAATTCTGGTACATTTATCTCTCTCTCTGTCTAGCTATCTAATTTGTGTTTTAGTGTTGCATTACTTGTTTTGAATGTTTATTTTTAAAAATGTGGATTGTTCTCTCTCTTAATTTGTGGTTTTTGTCATAAAAATGTGCCTAATGAGATAATGCCGTTGCTTTCTGATGCTTGTGTGTGTCTCCTGTTTCTAATGCTCATGTAATTGTGTACTTCTGAAAATTTTGGGTTCCCCTCCCCCACACACCCACACACATTCACAGGCAGACGGACACAAGCTGAGGCGCACACATATGTTGTTAAGGAATTGGTGGAAACGTGTAAATTTGCAAAGTTTAGGTCCTGTGGTATGGGGTTTATACTTTATATCTTTTAAAGGGAAAACATGATTACAGGGGTGGAGGGAGGGTAGGGGCAGTGGGGTCAATTGCCCCACTGAAATTTTGAAAACTTTTAAGGTTAGTTTTAAGTTATAATCAAAATTAATTTTTCTAAGAACTTGCCCCTACTAATTAAACAATTATTTTTGCAAGATACAATGAATTTTAATGATTGTTGTGTAGTCGTTTTCTTCTACCAGAGGTTGTCCCCACTAGAAAGAGACTCTGGCTCCGCCCCCGCATGATTGCGCTTTGATAGCTACGTGTACTTTCTGACTTGCTAAATTATCTGAGGCGAGTGACATTACATTATAAATGATGGTTACACATTAAAAAGGTTTTTCTTCATTAGGTTTTGAACAGCAGATTGGATGGCTACACATTGTGAGATAATTCAGTATGGATAGATTTTGTTGCTGCTTGATTAGGATTGTTTTGATTTTATTGATCTGCTTAATGATTCTAGAAAAGTAGGAAAATTATATAGTTCTTAAACCATAATTTCAAGTAGAATATGTTCTCCTAATTATAATTACCAAGAATAAGGTTGTGACCAAGACTAGGATTAAATGAGTTGTTGGGGCATTTTCTGTTGCACATCATAATAAAGTTTTCTACATCGATACTAATGTAGAAACAATAGTATATTAATGTGTTAGGATTGATGTGAATAATGGAGAACCACACGGATGTAAAACCATCCAAGAAGTTAAGAAGGACACAAACCTCAAGAGGCACTACCATTTAACTCTTAAAGCAAGGTTAACCTCTTGAAATACAATGCAGATCGAAAAACTCCTGAGATAGATTCCGACCCCCATAGAAAAACTGCAAGACATAAATGTCCTTTTTTTTTTATATAACATTTACGTTGTTTGGTATTTCAGTTGTGTTTAAATTGGAAAACCACAGTTGAAGTATGAATGGATTTTAATGGAAAACGTTCAGAGCTGGTGGGAATGAAACACATTTAAGTATCTATTAGGAAGTATAGGGGATTCCAAAAATCCAAATGACTGCTTTTGGTAATGAACTAAATGATGCAGGATCTTTACTTTTTGCTCCAAAATGATTAAAATCTGAAAAGAATCTGAGNATTTAAGTATCTATTAGGAAGTATAGGGGATTCCAAAAATCCAAATGACTGCTTTTGTTAATGAACTAAATGATGCAGGATCTTTACTTTTTGCTCCAAAATGATTAAAATCTGAAAAGAATCTGCTGAGGGAATATAGGTTTTGGGGTTCCAACACCGCCATCTCTTTTGCATGTAATTCACAGAATTGGAAATTGTTTTTTGACAGTGATTTTGTTGATGGCACAATTTTCCACTCACATTCACCTACTTCCACCCTTCATTGTTGTCAATAGAGGGGGAACAACAAATGGACTTGAGCTTTCTCTGATGGCTTCTTTTAACAAGAGCTCATCTGCATGTCCCTTTTACTCTGCATGCTCCATAATATTCATTCAGTAGGTAGGCAAATTTAGTAATTTTGCCCCTAGAATAAGGTCATTAGTATACTGGATATTGTTTGAAGTTGGAAAGCCATTTGTTAAATATTCAGGAGGAACATCTGAAAAGTCTCCCACACCTTTAGCACTTTCTTAAGCTAATGATTTTGGTGAATGTCTGATTTCTGTTCAAGCAATGTGAACAATGCTTCTTTTACAGTAACTTACTAGGTTTGGGTAGTTTTTTTGAATCTTGGTTGAAGGGGATGATTGAACATGCCAAAATGAGGTGTTTGGGTATGGAAGGCAATGCTTGTAGATCTTTTTATCGGCTAAGAGATGTGAGATTAAAGAAAAAGACGGGGGATTTGAACTCTTGACTTCAAGATGACAAAGCTTCACAAATTAAGAAGTACCATTGGATCAAAGGCCCGTTAGTACTAGGAATCACCTCTAGGGCCTTAGTTCTCTCATCTAGAAATGATGGTTCACATGTCAAGAGAAATAAGGTTAAAAGAATTCTTCATTGCATTCTACTCCAAGAAGTCACTACTTCATGAACATATGGGGGGACAGGACTTGGAGATAAAAGAACACCTTGATTTCCAAGTATTTTTGGTGGCCAATGTCGCTAACACTTGGTTTGCTACTCTTTTTGCTAGACCAACCAAAAACATACATAAAAAAGGGCAGCCCAAGGTCCTGCCACCGAGAGCTTGTTTTTGCCATTAGAGTCCTTGATGCCCAGGTAACAATTGAGTGACTTTACCGATGTGCCAAGGCCAAAAGCATACAGATAACACAAACATATGCCTCGAAAAAAAGACCGTTAGGGCAGCCCACCGCTAGATCCCAAGCATGAGCACCAAAATACCCCTAGCATAAGAAACACAAAACATCTGTGAATCTTTTGTGCAATCTCTAAAATGGAGTCTTTGCCAAGTTAAAGCTGAAAAAAGACTAACCTTGCTTTGTATCACATACTAACAGTCCAGAAAATTTATCGTATACCAGCAACGCACTTAGACTTTATATAATGAAATAGATTCAAGCTAATTACACATTTGAAGAAAGAGCTGAAAAATAATGAGCTCAAGAATTTTCTTGCGCCATTCGCGACAANCATACTAACAGTCCAGAAAATTTATCGTATACCAGCAACGCACTTAGACTTTATATAATGAAATAGATTCAAGCTAATTACACATTTGAAGAAAGAGCTGAAAAATAATGAGCTCAAGAATTTTCTTGCGCCATTCGCGACAAATCCCATATATTCTTGCAATGTCCCACTTGACTTCCCCATGAAAGTTGAGGTAACCCAAGTATGGACTATGGACCTGAATATGCTGCAGAAGTTGGTTTACTCAAAATTGAACTTGCTACCGTAANAAATCCCATATATTCTTGCAATGTCCCACTTGACTTCCCCATGAAAGTTGAGGTAACACAAGTATGGACTATGGACCTGAATATGCTGCAGAAGTTGGTTTACTCAAAATTGAACTTGCTACCGTATGTGTTACTTTAGTGCCACAATATATAGTTCCTTACAGACTGAATCTTTAAATCATAAATCGGTTATTACTTATTAGTTATTATTGAGTTTTGTTCATGTTGCAGGATATAGCTGAAATGCTCCGTCTGAATGTTCCAATGGCAATGAAGCTAGCATTTGATGGTCTGAAAGATTCAGAGTATAAAACAAGAGATACTGATATTGATGATGTGGGTCGTTTTGATAATGTTGAATTATCAGTCCTCCTTTGCAATGATGAGTTTATCCGCAAACTTAATAAGGACTGGAGGGACGAGGACCACGCTACTGATGTTCTCTCCATGTCACAACATATCCCCGAACTTAAGCTTCCAATTGTAAGAACTCAATATATTGCTATAATTATTGATTTCAAGAAACAAACTTGACATTCTTTTTCTTTTGCAGCTTATGTTGGGTGACATAGTAATCTCTGTTGAGACAGCTGCAAGACAAGCAGAGGAAAGAGGGCACACTCTTCTTGATGAGATACGGATCCTCATGGTTGGTTCAATTGTATTTATTTGGTATATTCTGTGTTCTTGTATCTATTTTATTAACTTTCATGACGTCACCTATCTTATACATTTATCTGTCTTGATGCATGCACAACGGCTTCATTTTCCTTTGTTCTCACTTTTCTATGGTTCAAGATTGAATGATTCATTTGAAACATTGCATATTGAAAGAACGAAATCTTGTTCACAGCCCAGGAATAGTAAGTGTTAGGTACCCTTGACTAATGAAGAATTTATTTGTTTTGCTAAAAGAGTACAACCTCATTTTTATTTTGGGCTGTGTAGCACTCAGGAAACATAAAAGATTGAGAGATTGTTTATGTTTTTCTTTTCTTTTTGAAGAACATTTTCTTTTCTCATGGTGAAGCATACCTGAGAAAAAATACTTAAAATAGTTATTAAAATAGTACAATTNAGGAAAAAAGAAGGTAGTCTTCGATTCTACAAACCAAAGTACAGATATATCTTCTGTGACATGGACGGTGAGATCGCCTATAAAATGAATTTCACTATTTCAGTTTTTTTTAATGTTCATTTGCTTAATGATATTTTATTTTAAACATCAGGCACACTGCTGAACAGCAGAAGTCAGATTACTTTAACAACGGCAAAAGCTTTGAGAGAGGCCTTGTCAAGGGGTGTAAAAGTGGTGATAGCCACTGGAAAAGTAAGGAAAGACAAACTTTAATCATCACTTCTCACTAAATAGTTATGTTTTCCCTTCTGTTGGATATCTGTGGGATAGTGCTGCTGCTTCTTTGACAGACATAATCAATGGATAATTGTATCTTTGGAAACAGACTCGTCCAGCTGTCATAAATGTTCTGAAGATGGTAGATTTAGCAGGAAAAGATGGCATTGTTTCGGAGTTTTCCCCCGGGGTTTTTCTGCAGGTTTATGTATTCTTCTGGTTTCTGGTCATCTTTCAGCAGTCTGATGTTGGATAATTGCTGTGATTCTCTTATGGACTCCTAAACCTTATGTAGAACCTTTCCAGTCCTGCACTGTTAATTGATGTTATGTTAGACTTATAGAATTTGTAATACTATGAATGGGGATTTTTGGATCAACAAATATGATATTGGAAGTTAGATTAGGGTTTATGTGTGCTGTATCAAAGATTCTGTGCATTTTTCAGATGAAAGCTGTTCGATCATGTAACTGCAGCGAAATTAAGAGGACAAGGAGAATAATGAAAAAGGGAGAAATCTTGGCCATTTTTCTTTTTTCTTGATGCGATTAGATTCAACTTATTAGTTGAACATCATGGGTACCTTTTTGGATACAACTAATTGTATCTCACTACATAAGTTGACAAATCCCTGCTAATAAGTAATAATTATCTGCTGAACTGTTACATTAACTTGAAATATTTCATACTATGGACAAAAAATTATAAACAATTGAAGTGTAATATCTATTACTCAATATAAACGGCTATAGAACAGAAACAATCACAAAGGATAACACCTCTTTCTTTAGAAAGATATAGATGATCTGAGCTTTGTGTGACCTGCTTAGCGACTGGCTTGGACTGATAATTCCCTAGGGAACATGGCCTTGACAAGTTAGATTGTTGGTTCAATCAGGTGTTACCGAGATCTGAACTAATTAATGTGTGCTAGCCCGATGGTAGAACAGATATTCAATGCATTTTGCCTTTGGTTGCTTCTTCCTTGGTGGATCTTTAATGTGGTGCAGGAAGGAACTACTTGAATCAATTCCATCATACAACTCAAAACATAGAATTGCAATTTAAAGCTTATTAGGATTTATAAAATGATGTGTACCAGTATATATACCCCTACTGGCTCACTTATTCCATGATAGCCAAGTCTCTGAAATTTTTCTCCCATATAAAAACATCATGCAAATGCCCTTTTATTTCTCTTATCTACTTTCTAAAAAAGTACTTAAATTTTTTATTTGATGTTTGGCTTAATTTGAAGGTGTTAATTACTTTTACCTTGTGTTGCCGCTGATAGTCAACTCTCTAATGGATTCCAGGGATTACTTGTGTATGGTAGACAAGGCCGGGAAATTTTTAAAAGGAATTTAGATCCAGATTTCTGTAGACAGGTGAGGTTATTTACTGTTGATGTTTAAAATGTGCCCTGGCATGCGATAAGCATCATTGGTGTTATTATGATTTCTCACAAAAAAATTCACCAAAAATAACATGTTTTTGCTTGGAAGTATTCACCTGTTTCTTTTACATGTTTTTTTGGCCATATCTTAGTAGCAACCAGCAGTCTCTTCCTGTTCAGCACGGCTGACTATTGATCTGTTTTCTTGTATGGTTGAAATTCTTGATTCTATCATCTGAGGCTAGCAGGACAAAACTGTTGCTTTGGGCTTGGTTTTAGTGCTGTTGCATGTATGTTGCATAGATCATTACATAACTGACATACTTCTTGTTTATTTGCTCTATCACATGGGACCAAAACTTTCAATTGTTTTCCAATTGGTCATTGTTCCTTGAAATGTGCCATTGTTGCTTTTGACTAAGTGAACTATCTAAATCTAGATATGGTGGCAAGGCATGTAAGGAAGTTGTATATGTCAACTTATTGTCTATTGGTGCAGATGTATAACTATTCTTCTTGTACACTGCACAGGCATTTTTCTACTCCCTGGAGCATAAAGTTCCGCTGATTGCATTCAGTGAGGATCGTTGCTTAACATTATTTAATCACCCTCTTGTAGATTCACTACATACTATATATCATGAGCCAGAGGTGCCTGATTCATCAAAATTTCCCTTTATAATAATCCTTTCTCAGTGAGTACATGCCTTGATTCTTCACTGTTTCACATGAGATCTTTTGACAGGCGGAGATCATGCCTTCGGTTGAGCACCTCGTGGCTGGTGTCGACATACAGGTAATCTGTTAAGTATTTTGTAAATTAGTCTTGCAACTCATACTAAAACATGGAATAACAAAAGGCCATTTCTTACTGACGGGCCTACCCGTATGGGTACTAGGAGGGGTAGACTGGAAACAAAAGTCAATCTGTAGAAACTTGTTCTTTGGTCGAACTTCAATGCACAGCCCCATGCTTGGTGCCTGAGTATTCACACTCTGCTTAGTAATGACACCTTGTTACAGCATAAATTAAAAAAGATGGGGCAGTGTTTTTGATGAGAACCATGTTGGAGTTGGATAATAATTGTAGATTTGTTTTAACGTTTACTTAATTATTTGAATACTAATTAGTGTTTATCTTTCTGGTGGTAGAGTTATGTAAGGAATCTTTATTTTGGGGTCATGGTTCCCCTATATAAAGGGGTGCATGTAAGGGTATTTGCCCTAATTTCCTTCTCTTCTCATCTCATCCCCTAATTCTTCCTCTTCCCGATCTGCATCAGTTTTACCACTCCAAAACTGCACCTTTTTTGTTGTCAAGCATAACCAAGGCCCAAAAAGCATGTGTACGCAGTTATACACAAAGTATTTTGACTTTGCAACCATGGAATAAGATTTTTTTGCCATATTGCTAGTTTCCACTGAGAACCAGCATTCCATTGACTAAGGGTAAATGATAATCAAAACTCTTTTAGGAGTGATACATGGATTTCTTCGTTTAAGCATGAAGTGTGGGTTATGTATATGCCTTTTTGGTGTAGGCCTATATGTAAAATTGTCTGGAGGTAAGACATTATCAGAATGCGTTTTCTGCGTATTAGCCTTGAAATTTGTTTCCGACCATCTACATAAACAATTCTTGTAATACGTTATGATTATTGTTGTTTTTGTTTTTCTTGTTTTGACACATCATTCAAATTCACAGAAGCTGATCTTCTTAGACACTGCTGAGGGAGTGGCTACTTCTTTGCGGCCGTACTGGGCTGAAGCAACAAGAGGTCTTGCCTCTGTTGTCCAAGCTGTACCGGATATGCTTGAGATTGTTCCTTCTGGAACTTCAAAAGGGAGGGGAGTACAAATGCTTCTCGATCATTTGGGTGCCACTGCAAAGGAGGTGTGTGCCAACAAATCTTGTTCCCCTATTGTTTTTGCTGTTATCTTTATCAACTTGTTACATCACCTTCGAACGAATAACTTTCTTAAAATATATGTTCCTAAAAAAAGCCCAGAATTTTGGAATATGCATCCTTCATTCACCTTTATTGTTTTTTTTTTAAATATTTGGCAGAAAAATTTCCAGCGTTTTCTAGATAATGAAGTTGTTTGCCTATGTATGCTGCGTATGTAGTTTGCTAAACATGTAGAATTATTATTTTTTAAATGGTGTAAAAATTAGTTAATTATTATATTTTCCACTTTGGATGGTTCTTGGATTTAATGGAGGGAAGTTGTGATGATGGTCTGGAACTATAACAGCAGAATCTTTCACAGCGTACAGATGGGTGTTTGGGTTTAAAGGTTATTTAGTGTTTTTGGGGATTTTGGTAGATATGGTGATCAACTGACAACATGGATGCAAGAGGTTTAGAGGCATTGGACCTATAGTTGATGTTGGAAACAGATTGTCAAATGAGAGAGGTAGAGGGAGGAGATGGTGTAGGGAGGAGAATCATTACGACTAACNGGAAACAGATTGTCAAATGAGAGAGGTAGAGGGAGGAGATGGTGTAGGGAGGAGAATCATTACGACTAACTAAAAGAGATGACATTGAGCATCGACTGTGGGTGAAATATTATTTTGGACCTTTACTTTTAAGGGTTTTACTGTCTTTCTTGAAAAGATGCTTTGACAGGAACAATTTTGTTTTGGATTTCATTGCCAGCCTTTTCTAGTATTCTTTTGTATTCAACAGATCTACTACCACACTCCCCTACAAGTTTTCAACCTAAACTTGAGCCACTTGGGAAAGAAAAGGACTTTTAGGCTTGAATAAGTGATTTTGAGAGAGTTGCAGAGTTATTTTGAAAACAGTTGTTTGATGGCTTATGGGTAGAGTGGGTGAGGGTTAGTTATGGGTTGACATTGTAGGATTTGGAGATGGTTCTTGTCCTGTTAATGCAGCAAACAGTGACCCGAGGTTGGTTTCTGTAATTTTTATGGGTTTTAGTGGATAAAAGGTCTGGTAGTATGAAATTTAAGGTACCAAAGGGTGATAAAATTATGTATGCTCACAAGTTAACAAAGGGGCGCAACGACAGAAGATGGAAAAGGGAAGTAAAGAGTCTGACTAGNGGTGATAAAATTATGTATGCTCACAAGTTAACAAAGGGGCGCAACGACAGAAGATGGAAAAGGGAAGTAAAGAGTCTGACTAGCCTCACAAGGATTGGCACGTGAACACAATCACAATTCTCATGAATCAAGTTTGTTAAACTAATGAAATTACACTCTCTTACTACCATAAAAATTAGGGCTCTTACTGCTTTACTAATGAGGAATATTCTAGTCACTTAAGATCCCAAATAAAATGCAAGTAACATAACTTGAACCAATTTATGACCCATGGACAAAACTATAGCCCGTGTCAAGAAAATCTTGAGATGACAAAATAGTCTTGACACAAAAAAATGAATAAAATATGTTGAATCTGCCCACTAGTTTTTAACTCAAAAGTCGAAACGCAACATAGAGAGCTCTATCAGTCACTTTACTGGGGACCAAAATGGCGTCTCACTTCTTTGGACCCGTAGCTTTGTTTCTTAAGCTTCGAAAGACTATAGGAGTTGTTCAACCATTCAACTAATATTGGATCACGTCACTCTCACAGTATTGTCATACCTTATGAGTTATGGCCAAAGCTTGACTTTGTCCTTGCTGATAGTGAACAATCGGATATGCTGAACCGAAAAATTCTACTTTTATATTGGGTCTGGCCTGGTTATGTTAAAATAAATTGCCAAGCTTTGGTTCATCTTAGTTCTTTAAATCATCTATGGATTTAGATCAAGAAGGAGGCTTCCATTTTGATCCATGTTCGCTCCAAGACAAATGCCAAATTTCAAANGGTATGTTAAAATAAATTGCCAAGCTTTGGTTCATCTTAGTTCTTTACATCATCTATGGATTTAGATCAGGAAGGAGGCTTCCATTTTGATCCATGTTCGCTCCAAGACAAATGCCAAATTTCAAATTGAGTGCAATGAACTTTGAATTGCTCTAATTTGGTGCGATTTTCATTAAGTTTTTTTTTAATTTTTGGCTTGTGTGNAATTGAGTGCAATGAACTTTGAATTGCTCTAATTTGGTGCGATTTTCATTAAGTTTTTTTTTAATTTTTGGCTTGTGTGAATTTCGTTAACTTACCAAGTCTATTCTAAAATTTTAAAAGTATTGAATAAGGATTTTCTACTGTGAACCGAAAATGGCTGGCTATCAATTTTACGAGGCCTTTTTAGCAGTCTATTTACTTATATTGCTTCTGATTCTTTTTGAGCTTCTTTATTCAAGTCAAACCATTTCAATTTTTACTGTTTTTGAGAATCCCTTCTTTAGCTGCAAGATCGTTGTTAAAATTAGCTTGTTATCTCTTGAAACATTCTCAATAACCTGTTCTTTATTTTTGTCTACATTTTAATTTTCTCAAGACAAACGCAGACTTTATTTGGAGACAAACAATGTATATGCAGCCCTCTTTATGCAGATATAATTATCCAGCTCATAAGAAACATTGGAACCATCAGAATACCAACTCACTTAAATTGTCATTTGGATCACCCTCAAACTTAACTTTTGATTATTTATTGAGGAGTTGGTCAATACGGTAACAGAGTTTGATTCATACTATTGATTTGTCCCAAGTTCAAATCTAGCTGCCACACTGGAAAATACTGGATGCACTTGGTTGGCTCACTTATGAAGAGTTTGGCCTCACATTTGTTTTTGCTCCTCTCTAAGATCTAAAGCAGTTGGTTAACATTCAAACCAGTGTTATTTCCTTGTGGAGAGGGTAATGGCCCCTCTAGACTTGATTCTTTCCTTTACGATAATGAGGTGTTGGGCGTATACCTTTTTAGTACAAGACTCGGGTTGATAATCTTTGACAAATTTCTTAAAGTAATAACTGATGATCCTTGTTGAATTTCCATGACAGAACTATGCTTGTGGATTGGAATTAATTTTACCTTTCTTCGGTTTTGGCGATGTGGCCATGTTTATCTTACACTCTCTTAATTCTTGCTATTTTGTTATTAGATAATGGCCATTGGCGATGGGGAAAATGATGTTGAGATGCTTGAGTTGGCTTCTCTTGGCATTGCTTTGAATAATGGATCAGAGAAGGCAAAAGCAGTAGCAGACGTGATTGGTGCCAGTAACGATGAAGACGGAGTAGCTGATGCAATCTACCGATATGCATTTTGAGTTCCAGGTTAGAGAATAAAAATTGGAACAGCTCTTCATTTAAAATACGGGACACAACCCACAAATATTGTTGTTTGGTTAATTTATTTCCTTTCTTTTGGGATCCTTAAGGGTGGTTCAGACCCCTTTCATTCCTACCAAAAAGACCATTACATAAATGAACACAGATATGGATAGAGGGAAATTCAAGCCACCTCTACCTCACCACCCTGGGGACCCTGATCCAACTCATCTTTTTGTGAATCCATTCGATTTTTTTCCTGACCCGGAGAATAGCAACTCTGTGACCAAACACATCACACAGGCTGCCTTTGTTTGAAGGCCAGCCAATCAATACTCTATTTGCTGATGTAAAACTGGCAGAAGTAACACATTAGATGGTTCATGATGGAATCTACAAGAAGGGATGCATGGGCTGGGCGTCCATCCTTTATTCACATCCTTTATGTTGTTTAAATCTCCTCCATTAATAGGGAACCTCTATTGATCTTTTCATACCTACATGTATTGTCGGTCGTTTTTCTTTGGTAAGAAGGATTGTAAAAGGAGTAAATATCATAGATCTCGTACAAGAGATAGATACACGTGCAAAAAAAGTGTTACTTTTTATGGAATGAAACTTGAATGATATGCTACTTAAAATAATAAATTAGTTGAATAGTGGGCAACAATCCTAATGGAAAATGCATCAAGAGATGGAAAAAGAGGTGCTCCCCAATCCTCCCCCCGCCCTCTCTCTCTCTCTCACACACACACACACACACACAAAAACAAAAGGGAAAAAAACAAACAAACAAACAAAAGCCGGTAAGAGGTGAACTTGGATCTTGGCAAAGAGTTGTTTATCATTGGAAAAGGTGTCAACTTGGGAGAAGAATCAATAAAACGTAGCCTGAGGTCTTTACCATGCTAAGTACAACGTCAACATGCAAAATTGATAACGGCCGTTGAGTTTTGGAGTAACGTGAAACCAATTGACAAAGTTGAAAGGGCAATGTGATAGCTGGGTTCGTTCTTTTTTATCTAAAATTTGGTGCACGAATCATTTGTCAATATATATATACACTATCTTATATAAATAATATATAAAATTAAAATTATATTAAATTATAAATTAATAAAAATTCAATTGATTTAACTTGTGATAGAATTATGTAATGTGATGAAAATGAGCGGAAAAAATGTGGTTATAAAATTCTAAGTGTTAACTATCTTATTTTAAATAAAATAATTTTTTTTTGTGGTCAGGGAAAATTGAGTAACTTTACTCATAATATTTGTCAAGTATGATTTTGGCTTAGAATCGTGTTTCATAAGCACGGTTTATAGCCCAAAACAAAAAAATAAAAATATGAGCCTGAATAATGAAACTTCTTCGATAGACCCGTATGGTATGGTTGTACAAAAGGATCTGACCTTGAGCAGGTAATTACGTAATTGTGAGCATCTCTCACCACCTGTACAATTAAATTCATGCAATTACTCTCCAACAAAGTTTTGTATTTTAGCTATCTAAAAGTAAATTTTTTTTCTATTTTAGTTACTCATTTTTTTAATATATGGTTTAACAGATTTTCTATATTTTTAACTATTATTTTTAAAAATTATTTCTCATATCTTATACCTTTATTGGAACTATTAAGGAGAGAAAGAGAAAAAAATGGAGAGAAAGACAGAGTGGACAAGAGAGGTGGAAAATGACAAGAAGAGAGAGAATATATTATAAACTATTTATACATAATGATAAAGTGATATTCTAAATATAGAACATTATTCTATCAAAAATATATTTTATCTATTCTGAACATCTTCTGTTGGAACATGTTTTTTACCTTTGAATAGTTAACTTTTAACTATTTTAGAGTTTTACATGTTTTGTTGCAGATGCTCTTAGAGTTTATAGCAATACTAATACAAAGAGGAAGATAAGTGTAATATCTATCTAATATTACAGTGAAAAAGTTAAATTTTCAACTTATAAATACATAATATTGATCATGATTGATTTATTTTTCATTTGCTTTGATCTAATGGTATAAAATTTATCTCAAAAAAAAATTTTTCACCCAAAAACATCAATTTCTCTGCACGGCCTCTAATGCCAAACAATTCAACTACAACACCTACCTCTCTCTTCTATCTCCTACTTATCTCTTGTTATTTAATATACAAATACTGCACAACTAATATTAATTTTTTTAGTATTGCAGAGTGTCTTCAAACACGGAATTATTGTTCGTATTAAGATTTTTGAAGATACAACAACATCAAATCTACTCCCAAAATGAGATGACTCCGACATGATTCTGGGATGGAGCAGGAGATCCTACGTATTAAGCTGATTTATCGTAGTGTGCATTTCTTCGAGCGCATTCCAAGATGGTTTTGTCCGCCGTGATGAAGTATGCAGCAATGGAGGCTGTAGATAAATAAATAAAGCTAATGCTCAATATTTCCAAACTTAGGCGCATGCATTTAAAAGCATTTTAACAAAAAACATAGTAAAAAAAAAAAAATCATCCCTTTTGTTCTTCGGGGTTCAAATTAGAGCCAATGTCACAATATACCAATTTAACATATCTGATAAAGAATCAAGGCTGCCATTTTTTGGTTATGATTTCCCCGAGAGAGTTTATAAATTCAAATGCACGACGAACTTACCAAACACCTCACAAATATTTCACCCTTTGGCAACAAAAGAATAGCGCGGGCTTAGTAAGAAAGAAATGTACAAAATATTGAATCAGGATCTAAAAGGAAGACAAATTTTCAAACAAGCAAACTGACTGAATACCAGTACATCACAAGTTTCATTAAGTTACCGACACCTTACAAGTATTTCTCTACTTGGTAACAAAAAAATAAAAGAAAATGGCTTAGATAAGAAAGAGATGTACACAATATTGAATTAGGATCTAAACAGAAGGAAGAAGAAAAAGTCGAGCAAACTGAAAACCAGCGCATATATAAGTTCAAGTTCAACCAAGAATTTAAGCACTATTATACCTAAAACATAATATTTTTGCAGTAATTACATGGCCAGCACAATTGAGTGCTACAAAAAGTGATGTAGTTCATAGAAAAACAAAATTCACAATAACAAATACCTAGCAAGTAAGAGATAAGATAAAAGTCGGATGCTCCATAGCCGGGCAGGCCAATCTGTGTAATCTGATGCTTTATCAAAGTGTTTTAAAAATAGTTAAAAAAGTTTGCTTTTTCCCAACTGTTCTTTGACTTATGGTGCAAAAATTGCCGCCAAGCACCTCTTTAGAAAGGAATGCATGTTGGAAATAAACAAATAAAGATTTTTTGAGGCTTTACAACTGTACTCAGTGCTTCATTGTTTCTAGCCAAATTCAAGTCATAAACATGGGTCACCAAACAAAAATTATCATACGCACCATCACTCCAAGAAAACAGAAGACGATAGATGTTTCAATAAAAAACCTAAGTGGATTTCTCGGGGCCTTTAAGAAAATCTCAATATGAACAAAACAAATGGATGGAAAGAGCAGCCTAATTAGTTTAGAACTCCACAAGAGCCTCTCTCCTCACCCTTTTTGAAGCTTTTCACTCATAAAAGCCATAACAAAGAATTACGAAACCAGCATTTCCTCTATAAGGGTTCAATCAATGTTGATACAGTAAAGCATTAATTTCTCATACCAGCAGATATAATGAGTGCCTGAGCAGTATAGTTGAGGTTTGCCTTTGCCCAAGGAACACTACGAACAGCAACCAACTAAAAATGGCATAATTGAAAATTGATTAGATAAAAATAAAAAGAATACGACATCTGTCATCTAGGTGAAATTATGCTATATATCTTTCTTAATTATAGAATAAACTATTAAGACTTCCATAGGTATTGTCGACAAATCCCGCCCCCCCACGGGGAGCCTACAAAAAAAAAAAAAAAAGGTCACCAAACCAACACCATAAGAAACCCTATCAAGAGAAATAGTGAAGCTTTCCCACTCCCTGATTGAGGACAAAAAACTTGAAGGTAGCTCAAACATTTAGGGCACTTAAACCCTGCTACTTGCATTCATTTGGTTTAGATCAGGTTAGGAGGCATGCAATTCACACCTATATAAGGCAAAGATAATTTATAGAAAGGTGCAACTAATTACTCTTTCCAGATGTCCTATCACTAAATTAGAGCCCATCCAATATCCTAAAAAATACTATTCAATACTGTTGGTTCCCTAATGACGTTTTGAAATTGATAGAAAAAAATGCGCATCATGTCAAATCAAACAAGCCAAATAAGGTCCTCGGCTAATAGCATTAAACCATGTTGGAGGTCTAAAGCTATTTGTTATGGTCCTCAATGCAATGATCCAAAAAATACACTGTTCACTAACCGGGCATAATCTTTACCCCAACTTAATATAAGTTATTTTTTCCGATTTAAATCAAGCATTTGAATCCTTTTCTCTTTTACTGTCAACTTTCACCTGATTGCAGATAAGCGATAGAAAAGCAACAGTTAGAGGAAAGGTGTAGTCTATCCTATTAGTTACATTTTCTTAGTATTGGCCTGATTGAGGGCCCATGTTGGCAACAATTACACTGCAACTATAAATTTATATATACATTTGCACAGAACATACAATAATATAACTAAATACCTTTAAACATTGTTTAGAAATTGGTGTCTTTTTGCTAGGTTACTAGATAACGCAGTTTTAATAAATGGCTCACTCATAATTTCGACAGAATTCAGAGGAATACTAAAGAAAAAAGAACGAAAAGAAAGCAGAGGCACGTACATCTAGCATGCGCTCCAACAGACTCTTGTTATGAAAGTAAAACTACAATTAAATTTTGTAAGGCAATGCAAGGGAGAACCATTGAAGGACATGCAGTTAAAACATTGATAGCAACTAGCCAGATTTGCAACATTCCACTGCTCCATCAATTAAAGGTCAAATCCTTTGCATGATTGGCAGATTGCCGAATGGGTGTGACCAGAACTTGAAGCCAATACAATGGAAATGGAGAGTCCATCAAAACCCTGGTTAGATCATTTATAGCCAAAGATATCTCTCATGAAAGGGCCAAATCGCCAGACCAGGTGTTCTTCCATTGAACATGCAGGGTTATGTTAATATAGGTGATACATCTCTTTGGACTTATCATTCTCCATGCCCTACTAGTAAGAGAACCTCCTTGCTGAGCATGATAGTTGAAGTTTAGTTTTGTCTATTGAAGGTTAGATTTGAGTCAATCAAAGGCCACAAATAGAAAGCTCTAAAAATGTTGTTAGACAAGAAACTGCAAGATAGAATTGAGGGTAATTGTCAGGTCCAAATGGAACACAGCTCCACATCGCCCTGGCTTGGTTGTGGGGTGGGGGTGGGGAGGGGGAAAAACCACCTTATAGCAACTGATAAGAATTAAAATAATGCAGCATGAGTATACATCCAGAAACCAAGTGCGATGGAGAAGATTAATATGCATTTCCATACCGTAGGCACAGCACTGGCGACACATGCAATTGCAGCTGCCTTGGCTCCCGCACGAACACCTTCTGCAAAGTATGCAAATACCATTCGTTATCAAACCATGACTTGCTTTATTTTCATTATTTGGGGTTGGAATTAATCCTCTGTTCTGTTTGCAATGAATTTTTAACACAGTAAATCACATTGACAAGGGAAAATGCATTGTGAAAGCATATTCAAAAAATTGTTAGTGAATAAGTTGTTGCTCGTTATGCAGAACTATGGATTGCTTAGAAACTGCAAATGATGACCCTGAAAGTGGCTTTCCTCTCTAAACTTTCGTCTTTTCCATTTTCAAAAAATGAAATCTGAGAATGAAATGAGGTTTAAAACAAGGTATTAACAGAATCCCCTAAAAGATTTTGAATCTCGTTTTCTTTTTCTAAGGCATCCATAAACTATAACCTCAAGCACGTGAAGGAGTCGCACTGACAATAGATTGTGAAATCTAATGAAAGGCCTTGTTTGAATTCCTCTCTATAGGCAAAAACTAATCATACTGATTCAAAAAGTACCAGTCGATATAGCAAAACAAGACTTGAGAATAACAACAAACATCTAATTTACCAATTGATCAAACAACAACAAAAGGAAGAGAGAGAATGAAAAACGTAATTAATATTCTGATAGGCACAAAGAGACACACAGAGAGATAGTGAGAGAGAGGGAGAGAGAGAGAGAGAGAATAGCTTCAAACTATCCATTTCTCAAGAACCAAACAATGGAAAATGTCGAAAATTTGAGACCTTGAGTACAATGTCTTGCGTTCATGATCTTCTGCTCTTCAGCCGGGGAAGCAATCAACGGAGATTGCCTGCGATTTCCCCATGCATCCCTTATGTTTGACGGAATGCCCATTTCTGTCAATCTGATTTAGAATTCTACAGAGAGATTGAGAGAGAGAGAGAGAGAGAGAGAGAATCGTAAGGTATTTCCTCTCCTTCATATCAAACACAAAGCGCACACCAATTAGGCTCGGCTCTTTTCTCAGTCGTATGGACATAGAGAATTCTTACACGTTTTTCTGTGTGCCATGTTTGTTCGTATTACCGTCAGGCGTTTGTGTCAATTTACAACTTTACGTGCTTTGGCTATTAAAATGATGGGGTAATCGTAAATTGTACCTTAATCATTCAAATATTAATTTATACTTTTAAAGATTAAAAATTTTAATTTTTACCCTTAAAAATAAAAATTTATATCAATGTGCACCCTCAAAGATCAAAAATCTCAATTTATATTCTCAAAGATAGAAATTTATGTCAATGTATACCCTCAAAGATAAAAAATCTCAATTTACACGCTTAAAAATAGAAATTTGTATCAATGTAAACCTAAAACTAAATTGATAAATTATATCTAGATCTCTCATGCTTGTCACTTAATCATTTGAATTCCTTCACATTTAAAATATTACTTTTACATCTCATGACGTTTGTACACGTGTAACACGTAATCCCTTTTCGTTGATATATGTTAATATAACCGTTAAAAAATATGATTTTATCCTAATAAAAAATTATAATTTCATATTACTCTTTATTTTATGTGTTCAATATATTTTAAAGTTCAAAATCAAACTTACCATTTGAATGTCCAATAGAATAAAGGGTTGCACATTGAGTGATATATTGTATTGGATATAAAAAATATTATATAAATATCTACATTCTATTAGACATTCAAATGGTAAGTTTGATTTTGAATTTTAGAATATATCGAACTCACAAAATAAAATGTAATATGAAATTATAATTTTTTATTATGATAAAATCATATTTTTTAATGGTTATATTAACAGATACCAACAAAAAGAGGTTACGTGTTACACGTGCAAAAACGTCATGAGATGTAGGAGTAATATTCTAAATGTAAATGAGTCCAAATGATTAAGTGACAAACATGAAGGGATCTAAGTATAATTTATCAATTTAGTTTTAGGTGCACATTGATACAAATTTATATCTTTGAGGGTGTAAATTGAGATTTTTATCTTTGGGGATGCACATTAATACAAATTTCTACCTTTGAGGGTGCAAATTAAAATTTTTGATTTTTGAGGGTGCACATTAATATAAATTTCTTTGAAGGTATAAATTGAGATTTTTGATCTTTGGGGGTCTAAATTGAGATTCAAACTTTCTTTCAGGGTACAACTTGTAATTAACCCTAAAATGATAAATAATGAGCAATGTTACATAAATTTAAAAATTAAATTTGATAATTAAAACTATTGATTTTATTATGAGTCTCAATATTTATTAAGATGCACTACCAATTCAATGATTGAGATTATTAAATCTAATTTTTAAATCCATCAACTATTAGTCATAGAGGATTACTCATAGATAATTCATGTCGGGACACAAGACTACTCGGAGTTGCTAACTTTTGAACTCAAATTTGGATGTCTGAGCCATCTTGTCTCCACCAGATAAGGAATCCAATTTTTCGACTTGTCTTCAATTATTTAAGTAGATACTAATGAATTAAACTTACTCCTAGACAACGAGAGCCTATCTAATACTATTAGTTTTTAACGGAGTCAGATTTATTTTAATATATTTTCTCATTTATATTTTTGTTGTCAAATTACTTATCATACATTCAGATGAGATTTATTATCTATATAATAAACTACAATATAATTCAAATCTCTACCACTTATACCACCATCGCCTCCATCACCATCTCCCACCATTATTACCATTACCACTATCACTGTCACGCTACCCCACCGCCAAATTACCCCTCATCATTATCACCACTATCACCTCCACTGTCGCCATTCCACCACCATTGTAATACTCAATACAGGTATGTGTTTAAATTTTATTTTTTTTTATAAATAAAAAAAGAACGAGGAAATCATCTAGAAAATTTAAAATTGGTTGTACACTAATATGTTATGATTAAAACTGTAATTCTAAGAAATTAGAGGGACTTAAGTGACATTAAAGGGAGATAACGATCGTGTCTTATAAGTAAATTGATTGTCCTAGGTTGCCTCATATATTATCAGTATTGTTGGGCTGGAAGGAATAGGCGGCGGCAGAGAGAAAGAAAGAAAGAGAGAAACAGAGAGAATGTAGAAAGAAGAACGAAAAGGAAGAAAAAAAAAGGGGGAGATTGGACTCATTAAAGGTATGAATTCATTAATTATTGGTAGGTTTGTAAGTTATATATATATATGTTCATGGTGAAGAATAATGGGGATGTATAAATGAGTTTTATTGAAAGTTGCTAATTTAGGTGTTTTTAAACCTAAGTTAGATTAATTAGTCTTGAAGTTTGTAAGGAATTTAATCAATGTGTTAAAAAAAAAAGAAGCAAGTTACTGGTTTAGAGTTATCGTAGGGAGAAGAATGTAAAAAGGTGTAAAATTATAGAAACCCACATTAGTTACAGGAGATGTTTTTTTGACTCCCTATATTTTCATAAATTCAACTTTGATCATTTTTTCACTGGATAATTTGCAAAGATGACCCTAATAGTTTTGAAACAAGATTTATAGTTTTGAAAACAATCCTCGAGCCTTGGAAACTATTAAAAATTATACTTTAACCTCAAAAATTTTAAAAATTATGATTTGACCCTAAAACTTTATAAAAATTTTTTAAACAACCCAAAATACTTTCATATCCTACTACCTCGTATTAGAAAGGATATTTATATGTAAAAGATATATTAAGTATATATCAATGAGGAGAAAGTATAAAAATTAAATAAAAAATCACGAAATAACGAAGTTAAGAAAAAGAGATTGATTGTTATATGCTATTTTGGATTATGTGGTAAATTGCATTAAGGTTAGAAAAGAGTGCTTTGAATTGAATTTTGGAAATCAAGGTAAGTAGTTTACTATTTCTTTTGGGAGAATATTCGTGAGTGCGTGCGTGTGAATTTTTCATATATATGATATATGTTGATATTTGGGATTACAATTAAATGTTTTGCAATTGTAAATTGTTACACCTGTGAATTTGAAAAACTTATGGAATGATTTATATGATTGCCCAAATGTGTTTTGGTGATGAAAGGGAAATTTTGTGTGCATTGGGACTAAAATAACATTTTTAGTGTGTGTTGAAATCATGTTTTATGAGAAAGAGACTGGGTTACCAGGTTTAAATGGTAACGAGATTGTATACCGGTGTGGTCGGTATATGGATGTGAACATAGTGACCAGTTACCAGGCTAGTGGTAACAAGAGACGGAATCAGTCATCAGGCTAGTGATGGCAAGAGATGGGGGTCAGTTACCAGACTAGTGGTAACAAGCATGATTTGACAAATGTATTTGAAACTAAATGTGTGTGTGAGAGTGTTTTGAATTATAAATGTCTTTCATTTATAAAGTTATTTGTGAAAATGAGTGGGTATTTAGGTTATAAATATCTTTTCTTTTATAAATTTATTTATGATCATGAAATCATTTTGTTTACATGATTATGTGGAAGAGATTGAAGTACAATTTGTTATACTTATATAGGTAATAAAGTTTATTTTTGCATATAAAATGTGGAATTTATTTTCACACCTCATTAGAGGTGGTTACTATTCACGGGCTTTTGTGCTTACCCAAACATTTAACCTTTTTTCAGGTGAGGATCAAGGGGAGGAGTAAGTCCTCGGGATAAACAAAGGATTAGAAGGATTGAAGATTTATTTTATTGTAGGTTTTCAGGAATAAATGTCTTTTATGATTTTGAGACAAATATTTAATTATTTTTGGGATTAATGTTGCTTATGTTTAGACTTTAGAGTAGTGAACCTTATGATTTAGTTATTGTTTTACATGAGTTTAATAATAATGTTTGTGATATTTAGTTTATTCCTCTAGTATTCATTAGATCTGTTAAATAGATCATTTTATTATTTGTCTTCCATTATATTTTACATTTATTATGCACATGATTAGTTGGTTTAGGCCTTGGTGGCCGGTCTGCTGCTCACCTTATATGATCCGGAGTGGGGGTGTGACAACCACCACCAATGTCACCAACCCAACCCACCACCATCATCATTACCACCCCCCTTTTACCACCACCATCGTTGTAGTCACCATACCACCCCCTATCATCACCATCGTTGTCACCCCACCACCATCACCACTGTTGCCACCCCACCACCACCACCACCACCACCGTCTAACCACCATCATCCCCATTACACCCACCACCACCACTGTCACCTCCATCCCACCACCACTGCCACTGTCTAACCATCACTCCTACTACCACTATCCTTATCACCTCACCACCACCCCCTCACAACCATCACCACTACCATTACCACTACCACCGACATCGCCACTACCATTCACCACCCACCACCACTACCATCGTTCACTCCTTCTATATTTCTGAATTGATTTTAGATGTGAATACAAATATATTTTTTATTAACCATTTTTTTATTACTATATATCTTTAAGCACAGACAATAACTAGTATATAAATAAATTAGTAATTTTTTTTAAACCACACGTTTTGGAAGAGATCTGAATCCAACACTAAACAATGTGTCATAGCTACATATATGTGATTGAATAATTTCTTTTGGGCTGGCTCAGTAGAATTTAGGGTCCTAAGCAAAAATTTTAAATGTTGCTTTTATATATTAATTATAAATATATATGTTATTTTATGGTTATACTACTTTTTCCATGAAGAGAGAGTTTATTCAACTTTATGGTTATGCTATTTTTCAATGTGTTATGAGTGATGAGAGAGATAGAGAGATTGTGAGAGAGATGTACGCGGAATTTGTTTATATAAATGTATTTGTATATGCCCTAATTATGAAGAGTGATTGGATTGACAAAAAATAAAGAGAGAGTGTGTGATCTTTTAAGCGAGTGATGACCGTTGATTTGATGAAAAAGTGTAAAATTTATTAAAGAAAAATAGATAATTAAATTTTGTATCTTTTTGAATCTCTTATT